TGGCTGATGTACTGCTGTTGTTGATTGATTGGTGTTCCAACTTCGAGACCAGAACTGTTGCGTTCTGATGGTAAAGATGGAGCGAAAAATAAACATTTAATGGAATCTTTTTAGTGCAGTGAAGTCGTACTAAAAGTGCGAATCGTTCATTGGGGGCATCCGAGATACTGTGCTTTACATAAAACATAAGTGCAAACTTACTACGGATAATAGCAATAATACGTATATTTTTTCACGATCCAAGAAACCGTGTCTGTAGCGGTGTAGATCAATATGGAGAAACGTAACCATGCATTTGCGTGGGTGATACACGTACGTGCAATATTGTGTCTTGAGTTTCATGTAATCCGATTTACTTAATGGTTGTGGCTAAAGCCAAGGTTTGGAAACGTGAGTGTCTTTTTACGTTTATGCTCACTTCTTGGAGCAGTTCGTTGAGTGATTGTTTCGACGTTGTCATCAACACCTTGGATGAGGGTTCAGAGATACGGAGCGTCGCTGGTTGGAGTCATGGTTTAAGATCGACGGTAGTGGCGGCGATGTATATATTATAAACGTCCTAGTTGGTTTCGGCTGTTCTAGTCGGAACGAACGAACTCTTTCACGCGTTGGTTTCCAGGCACAGAATAGCCTAGACGATTCGAATTTGAACGGGTTGTGGACTTAGTCGGCAGACGTGAACTCGTAACTGAGAAGGTAGACGAAACGCGTAAGCGCCGCACAACTACGTCGAGACCATGGATGAGGAAAACTGGCCAATAGTGAGTGGTTTTGTTGACTCATCCAAGGAAACCGTGCTTTCTACACCATGTTTATAGTCCACTAAAACAGTAATAAATTTATAGACTTCAAAGGAAGGCATACGTTTGTTGGCATATGAGCTTCCATTTAGTGCCCTATCTTCGGTCAGAGATGCGGTAGAGTCGATGCTGTTGAGACCTTGGACACATCGCAGTTGTTTAGCATGCTCAGTAGCTAGGTCTTTGACATGAATACGACTCAGGAGACAGACTGTTGATTTGTGGAGATCCCGGTGGATACAGTGGTGATACTTGGACGCCTTCAGTGGGAACTGTGCGGGATACGTTGGCCGCGTTTTCGCCGAGGACAGCTCATTTGTGACCTGCGCAGATTACTGGACCATTGACGGCCATTTCCTTGGGGAGAGCTCCGCTCTGAACTGTGTCGTTTAGGTCTCTGCATAGCAATAATGTATTGGCACCGGTGAACTCCGTGTGAGTTTGGCAGGGTCTATGCCAGCCCTGTAGCAGTATCTCTGTGTGTTGCTGTTATCGAAAAACTGGAAATATGTGGTTGCATCTTTCTTTCTTATTCCTATCCTGTTTTTCTATTCCACCACGATTCTGATGGTACCATATCTGTACCACAAAGTGTGATCAGTAGGTTTGGGACTATAGCCATTGTCGACTTCAGGTTAAGGGAACTTGTGAGTTAAATACCAAGCGTTACCACATTGTCCCCTGACCTGAACGTGTGATTTGCAGTTTATTCCACCGGTAGGTACATCTGTCCAGGAAGGCATTGGAGTGCATGCTTCTTAATGGCTTAGTGTATACTCTTTGTTATGCCCCATGCTGAGGCTGATGTTGCATTCTTGATGCTCCTTCACCGCAGTTGGGCTAAACCAACTTACACTTAGACTAGGTCTTTTTAGGCTGGATAAATTTCATTCCACTTTATTTGGTTTGTTCTGTCTACCTGAATAATCTTTTATTAACTGGACACGTTGCTTACACTAATTGCGCTTATCTTCGGTAACTTTGTTGCGTTTGTTGCATTTTTAAGTAAACTGTGGACATTCCTTACTTATCGTGGATTCGTTGCTAACCAACTTACTTCATATGGTAATTTAGTGAAGAGTTATGCCACTGTATCTGTATGCATTATTGGATTTGTTTTATTTCTTCTTGTCGTTTCAAGTGATTGGCTGTTGCTTGTTATCCCCGGTGTGGCTGCGTTTGATGTGCATGTTGACAAGGTGCCTACCTGTCTATTACCCACTACCTCGTTCATACTGGCTCCAGGAGACAGTTGGTCGTTGCTGGAGGGGACGGGTTGCACGGTCCTTGTGGTCGTGCTAGGCTCGAAGAGTGGTTCCATGCACTCAGTGTGGAGCGGACTACAGTCCAACCACTGCCTTGTGTGCGCTTGATTCCCCAAATACAGCGTGCTTGTGTTTGCATGTGAAGGAGTGTGGCCGGCTCCGTTGATGAAACTTGGCTCCCATCCACATGCCTCCCGGTCTTATTCCTTCGGGTTTAGACTGGATATGGGGTGTGTGTGTGTGGTGCAGCGCAATTCACCAATGGTCCCTCTGTAGGCGCAGGCGTCCTGTTACTGGCCACAATGACAGGCAAATCCGAAACCGGATGCATACTCTTTGTTACCATGCTCTCTAAATGAGCTGTCATGCGTTTCTATCCTATTTTACAATCACTTGCATTCATAGGGCATCCAACTTTTTCGTTGTGGAAATTGTGCTCCTCCATAGATCTCTCAAGATGGCTCTTAACACCATAAAGTTTCATCCAACGGGTGCAGACGTCCCCTTGAGTGATCAATCCCAAATCCGTAAATTGCATCCCATTCCATGGAATCATATACTATCGGTTGATTTGGGATCGGTCACTCAGTGAACGGTACGCATTTTTTTGGAAGCGTTTGTGCTCTTTGGGTTCAACCTGGTGGCGTTAAGCGCCATGTTGAGATATTTATGGTGGGGCATAATTTCTTTACATAGGCATCTGAAATCGCTCTGGATGCAATTATCTGCGCAAATGTATAGGCGCTGAGGAGGCAAATTATCCAGATTCCTCGGCTAATTATGTGGGGAGGGGCGAGAAGCTTAAAACGATATTTGACACTCATTGAGATTAAATAAGATAACATGATTGGTGTGTGGTGCTGCAATATCATGTATTTGGGCCCTCTTTTGCAATGACAGTTGCATTTGGAGGTACAGTTCGTAGAACCACCATAGACGCTGATAACTTGTTGGCGTCCACTTGACTGTTACTGAGAGGGCTTGATGTCGTCGATCTGACTTACACTCTTCTGCACCATGGATGTTGCCCGTCTTTGCATAGGTTACCAGTGATCACCGTTGTCAGATTAGCCGTCGCTACGAGCGTACGAAGCATTAGGGATTCATCTCATTTCTATTGCCTCTAAACCGCATAATTTCTTTCGCTTTGGTCATCCGAAACGCGAGCTTTTTGTCCATGTAGCAACTTCTTGGCCGACTTTCTCACGCGATCGTCTATCATGGTCTTCTCAGTAATAGCTCTTAATCTTTTTGGCTTGGTTGGCGTTCTCATTGTTCAGATGAAATTGATTGGCCCAGCATTACGTTTGCATCCTTTAGTGACAATCGATATCCGAGAGAACGCTTGCTCTTCTTCGTGACCTCGTCATACCAGTTTTGATAGCTCTTAAGTCGCCAAAAACCTTATGTGCAGTCCGGCGACCTTTGGCAATTCTCTATATTTTTATGTCTTCTTAGAATACTGAATACTGTCCGGGAGCATCAAAAAAAGATGTTGCTGCATTTGAAATCCCTCAGGCACAATGACCTCTTATTAATTACGACCTATTATGTTGCAGAGTATTCACGATATTTCATGTTGGCAGTGTGTTTGTCCAGGAATTTCTTGTGTTTAGGCACTTGCTTTACTTCGACCACGTGCTGTGGCAGGTTATTCCATACATTCACCAATCTCTGTTCGAAACAGAATTGGTAGGCGACCCCATTCATATCTGGTACTACGAACTTGTACCCATGTCCTCGTGTGCTACATGGTGTGTGCACATGAAGCAGCGGCCTCAACATGGGGTAATCACCAAGAGGAACAGTCCGGTACATCATGATGAGATCAACTTGGCATCTCCTGTTTCTCGCGTTTATTTTGGTCCCCCAGTAGAGGTTTTTTATCATGGAACTTACATCGGCCTTAGTGTGATACACCTGATGAAACTTATTAATGTTTTCGACATATGCGCCGCATTTTCCAGTCTTCAACGTTCGCGGCTTATTCTGGACGTCTGAGTTCACTCCACCGCGCCTCAACCAAGTGTTTTCTAGTGCTAATAGCAAAAAATAGTACGCCGGTATGCAGTACCGACGCTTCGCTGCCGCGTAACCACCACCGGTCGCACGTGAGCTAAGGATACTGCGAGGGTCAACCTGCCCCTACGCAGGCTCGAACCCGCGGCGTCGGACTACAATGACAAGCTCGTTACCCTTAGGCTACGGACCCGCTGCGCTAATGGACCTGGTTTGTTATGCAGAAATCTTCCTACGTCAATAGTGCTCGCGTAAGGACCAGGCGATCCTCGCAGTATCCTTACCACGCGTGCGACTGGTGGTGTTTGCGCGGCAGCGAAGCCTCAGTGCTGCGTACCGGCGTATTACTGGTGCTTTATTATTATTGCCCCTATCCTATTACTAGATTACGATGAGCACGTGGTATTAAAACTTACCCCTCGATTTTTGTTAGCTTACGATTGTTGTGTTAGCACGAGCAACGGATGATTTATTTGGTTTCGTACAATATCTATATTTATACGGGCTGGTATCGATTGTGGGAGCGGAATCAACTGGTCATGTGACTCACTTGTGTTCCGGGTAGCAAGTTCTCAAGACTGATCATAACCAGATGCTTACCGCTTTCATTTAGAAATACAAATGATCACAGTCACTTGTGTGATTTGCAACTCTATCGATCATAGCAGAAACCAAATCAGCGATTAACCCCTTTCGAGCAATATTGTTACTACAGCCCCCTTCACATCATTGTGTGCTCACTTTCATCCGACTATTGTGACACCTGAGCGATTGTGTCGTCAGTTTTCCAACACTATGCTATAGTATCATCTCACTAACTTTCTTGATTTCTGGCACAGATCTCCACTTTGTAAACGTGCTTTATTTCCGTATCATCGAATCGTTTTTTCACACTTCCCCTCCTCTCTAATCACAGTCGCACATTGCCCCATCTTCCCTCAATGTGTCCTGTCGGAGTGCCTCAAGCCGGCCCACAAAACCTTCGTGGTTCTGCTCTTCCACTCCCTGTGTGACGGGCGACGCCGACCAGGGAACCGGTGGTGATCTTGATGCCACTGCTCACCACCGGACTGTGTATGCGAAAACTTCGAATGTGACCAATCTCAATGGTTTATCGTCTTTCGAGACCCGTGATGAGTGTCACGTGCCCCCCTCGGTTTTGGCGTTATTCGTCTATTTGGCTCAACAGGGTGTGCATGTGAGCGATTTGTTTCGTCGACCCGGAAATATTAGTCAAATGAAGGTAAGTTCGGCTCTACGCCCCCCCCCTTGATTTTGTGCGAACGTCTGCTTTATGCGGCTAATTATGAAGAAGTCTATTTTGTCTCGCAGGTGGCATAGCTAGTTAGTCACGGACCCTCAGCATCCTCTTCATGGGACATTAGAGACTACTGAACCAGCCATCTATACTTCACTAAATACACATGAGAGCATAGAGTCACTACCAAGTTAACCGGTCATAGTGGCATCAACTACTCGGTTCGCTCATAGGTGTGACTACGGAACGAAAGGTGAATAAACAACCGCTCTCCATGACTAACTCCTCTACCAATAGAGCTTGTCATTCGAACACTCAGAGGGCGCGTAAGCCACCTATCTTCGGTGTGGCGTAAAATTCGGTGGTCCAGGAAAGACCTACTGGTTTTTGTGCTGTCATTCGAAAACTTTTTCGGAGGTTTCGGTGTTTCCAAGTCACACGATAGCCATGTTGTTATCAATGCTCACCGGTTACCTTGAAGGGTAGGTGCTCCCCTTAAGCCAAGTCAACTAAGATCCAGATCCATACACAACCGTATCATTTTGCTTCACTAGTGAACCTGCAACAGGCGGAAGATGGTTGTTTCCGTTTCCGCTTTTGATTCAGACGAACACCAGGTGTTGTTCATTCGCAAAAGTCTTCACTTCATGACGCGTTTCGACCCTATTTGATCTCTCGACGTAAAGATAGCACATATCGTACCCGGGACCATTGAAATATGAGCCGAAGCCTCTACTCCTTTAAGCGCCTTGTTGGGGTTGCGGTCCCATTTAACGCCCCAGTGATCCCGTTTTCGATGCCTGGTATCTTCACCTGATCAGATCAACCAAGCTTGACACGCGTCGTGGTGTGCGCTGTTTTCGCACGGGCGACACCCAATATTCATCTGCTTCATCAGCAACGGTCCCAATGCTCGATTTGCCCAAGGTTTACTTCAATGGGAATCGCGATCCACACTGGGGCTGCGCGTCGCAATCCATTCGCACCACATGTGCCAAGCGTTGCCCGTCATGACCCGGTGGCCATAGGGGAAAACTCCCAACTAACATCCCAGTCGTCCCGAATGCGATACCTGCTATCTCCATCTGATGAGACCGCACAAGATCAAGACGCGTCGAGGTGTACAGTGTTTTCGTGTGGTCAACACTCAATTTCCATCAGCTTTATCAATGACGGTCGTAGGGATGGAATTGGCCGAGGTTCACCACATTGTGTATCGCGGTCCTGGTGAGCGACTTCTTGACTTGGAGTATGCGGACGATATTGCCCTAATCTGTGACAGCCCCCAAACATGCCAAACAGCACTGGACCGATTAGCACTGGTTGTCAATCCTTTTGGGCTATGCTTTGCCCCATCGAAATGCAAAGTACTTCTCTAAGTTTGGCAGTGACCCAACCCTGCGCTAACGCTTGGTGGTGATCTGCTAGAAGTCGTTCAGGAATTCAAGTACCTCTGCAGCTATATTAGCACCCGTGGGATTGAAGATGACGTTACGAACCGTATAGCAAAAGCTCGAGGTGCTTTTGCCAATCTCCGCCACCTGTAGCGCAGACGCGACATTACTCTCGCCCTGAAGGACAGAGTTTATAACGCAGCCATCCGTTCAACTCTCCTATACGGCTGCGAAACCTGGCCCATCAGGTTGACAGACATGAAGAGGCTCGTCACATTCGATCATCGTTGCCTTCGCAGCTCAGCTCATGTCTGGTGGGAACACCGCGTGAGAAATGAGCGTGTTCGACGTCGCGTAATTGGTTCAGGAAGAGCGAGTGAATCGCTCAGCACCATTATATCACGCACCAGGCTCCGATGGCTGGGCCACGTGTTGCGCATGCCAGCACACCGACTCCCGCGACGTGCATTGTTTGCGCGGTGTGGGTGCGATTGGAAGAGGAGGAGGGGAGGCCAAGTGATGACTTGGTCGAGAGAGATGAAAACCCTCACTTCGAAGTTGGCGTCGGTTGGTGCATCCCGACTGCCTGGCTGGGGTCGTAAGGACGGTGAACACGTTTGGTTGGACACACTTGCTGATATGGCTCGGAGCCGGCCTCAATGGCGTTTGTGTTGTGATTTCCTTTGCCCAGCCCCCTCCTGTTTAGCATCCCCCTCCAATCACGATCTCACTTGATAGGCATAATACGAATTTCTTTTACGACAGCCATCTGTTAGCTCTCCGGAACGATGTCCATCCGTTACTGGGGACTCAGCGGGCGTGCCACTGTTTGTTTTCCTTTTCTTGTCTTTTGTATTGCGGCACAATAGCTGAGGTGTTTTCCACCTCCAGCTAACGTGTAATGATGATGATGATGTATCGCGGTCCGCATCGAAAATGCGCGATCCAATCCATCCACACACAACCGGTGCTTCCAAATGATCCCTCCAGTCAGTTTTGGTTCACTTTCCTCATTGCAACCATTACGTCAGCGATGTTATCTGACTTCACCTTGTTCGAATATCTCTTACTGCAGTTGGAGATACCACCACATCATCTACTTCTCGGATTGCGCTATATATATATATATATATATATATATATATATATATATATATGGTTGGCGGCATCCGGTTTCGGATTTGCCTGTCACTGTGGCCAGCCACAGGACGCCTGTGCCTACAGAGGGGCCATGGATGGCTTGCGCTGCACCACCCACAGCTCCATCCACACACCCCATATCCAGTGTAAACCCGAAGGAATAAGACCGGGAGGCATGTGGATGGGAGCCACATTTCATCAACGGAGCCGGCCCACACTCCTTCACAGGCAAACACAAGCGCGTTGTATTTGGGGAATCAAGTGCACACAAGGCGGTGGCTGGACCATAGCCCGCTCTACACAGTTCGTGGAACCACTCATTGAGCCTAACACGGAAACTAGGAACGTGCACCCCGTCCACTCCAGCAACGACCAACAGTCTCCTGGAGCCAATATGGACGAGATAGTGGGTAATAGACAGGTAGGCACCTTGTTAACATGCACATCAAACGCAGCCACACTGGGGATATCACGCAACAGCCAACCACTTGAAATAATATTTTCAAAAATGGATATCTGTTCAAGTATACGGCTATGTATTAGCCTAATGCGAAATATCGAAAAGGAATTTCTTCGCTGAGTTGTTGTGTATATATCACGAATTGGGAGCTTGATAATAAGGGGATAAAAGTGTAGTTGGAGCGCGACAATTAGGATGTAATACACGAAACGGGGAATAAGAAAACGGGAAGACCTGAGCAATAGCATCCAAACCCATATCCACCCTGCTCGACGCAGCAGATAGGACACCATTAGTTATCCTCTGCGACAGCCAGAGCATCAAGGAATTGTTAAAAGAAAGGTTCATTGTATTGCGTGGGCAGAATACTGCCAGGTTGCCCAGTCCTAGTCAAGAGAACGACTAGAGTTCTCAACCAAAGCCTTTGGTTTAACAACTTTAGCGCAAGGCAGCGGGGTTTTGGCATTGGACTACAGAGAGACCGTTTTATGGAGTAAAGAGCCACTCTCACTTCAACCCCCAAATCTGAAGGACCAGGAGACTACCTTTATCTGACCAATTTAGTATGAGTTGCTCTGAATGTACTAAGAAGCACCACCCAGCATAGCTCAATGGATCACTGAGGTCCCAAACCATCGCACCACGTTAAGGTCCAGTGTCGTCGCGATGACTGCTTCCAAACAATATCATACCGGTCACACAGAAAAAAAAGATTACGCAACAACTTTTCAATAAGAATACAGACCGTAAAGGCTTGGCTTATCGATCCTTTTAAATTTGATACTCGGAGTCAGCAGTATAATATGTCGGAAAAGTTATCACAGGGATAACGTGCTTGTAGTGCACAATATACATAAGAACCCACCTACGTGTGCTGTGGTCTCACGATATGTCATTCATTTTTTCGAGCCCATGACCTTCGCACTTTGTGCAATACGTGATTCGCAGTATGCGCGATGATTAGATATTGCCTAAAATTGAAGATTCTCAGTTCCGTGCTAATGGAATATTGCTTCATCAGTGAATATGTTGTAATGAACGCTCGTAGTTTGGCATGAAACAACTTGGGCAGCGCAATCACACTTAATTTCTGCAACGGCGATCAATACTGCGATGGGAGAATAGGCTATGCTACAGCCAGTAGTCTTTAGGCGGCATAGATTTTCAAGACTCCTTTCTCAAAACGTCACTTTTAACATTTGCAAGGTCTTATTGTAAGGAATGCCTATTTTTCTAAGATAAGTTGTTGCAAGGTAACTTTCAGTCTACAAAAGCGTTGCTAATAGCCCCTATTTCATTAGCTGGGATAACACTAAGCACCTATTCCACACTCCTTGCTCAGGCCACTTACGCCTGCCTATGCGCCACCGCAATTCTACCGCAGTTACCCGCTGTTTTGATTTTGCACGCCTGTCTCGGCTCCAACCAACCCGACACACTCTATGTATGGATTAGTGAACTTGCCCTGTAGCATGCGGTAGGTTAATTCTAACTCAACCATCCACGCCTGATCCAGCGTTTTCACAATGGACGACACTGGCAAGTACACATTACCCACATACACGCATACGGTCGTTCTACACCCATGTGACCCGGTGAGACATTTTGAGGTAGACCAACATCTACTATTGGACAATTGGCAATTTAGTGCGCTCTACCTCACACCTGAAGGAGTAACCCTTTGTCCCGCATTAACAGAGTAGAGGGACCATACTTTTGGGACATATGGTATGTATTGCGGCACAGTAGCTGAGGTGTTTTCCACCCCTAGCTAACGTGTATGATGATGCTGACTATGTGTTGAACCATCGTCTTGAGGAACAAAAGGTGCAGATCATCCGGACCCGGTGAGGAGTTCGGATTTAATTCAAGATGTAGTTACATAACCATGCCGTCACTGAAGTCAATATGGTCTAGTGGAGAGAGGTTGGGTGTCCCAAAGTCACTGGATAATTGAGCTTCGGTGTACAAAACGGGAGAATACTGCAAAG